CCGCCCTGAGGAGCATGACCTTCCAGGTCGAATTAGGAATGTCAGTCGCGCCACATCCCCTATTGATGGAGGGCCTCTATACTTTGATCAACAACAACGGGAGGACACTTGTGACGGAACGAGTGACGAAGTCCGAAAGCAGGTCGCTGAAGCCCACAGGGCTGGCCCAGTGCCCCCACACATCGCAGCTGTTCGCTGGCGCGCTTATAATACGATTAAGGAGAACGCACGCGTTGTACACGACCCCATATTCGCGCTGCTTGGGGAGCTCGAGGTAGAAAGTTTTGACCGAGCATTCAAATTTCTCACAGCAGAGTTTGACTCGGATGACAGACCAGACTCCATTCCCAAGGAGGTCTACAATGCACTCGTTCCCCTGGCGTTGCCGGATGACGCTGCCGGCACAGCCGAGGAAGCGAGGCAAGGCTGTTCAAGCACGGCCGGAGGCCCGCCATAATGGGAAGCTCGGAGTTTCGGAGAAAGCGCAGCCACCGAACGCACTCCCAAGCGCAATTCGTAGGCGAGCGCGCGGTGCACATGGCGAGACATTCCGCCGAGTGCGCCCGATCATCGGGCGGGTGGGTGCACGTTGGCGACCTCATTCAGAAGATGACGAACGATGGTATCACACACGCCACAACTGCTCTTGCAATGCACGGCCTGACAGCGCCGCCACCGGGAGAGATTGATGTTCTAGGCATTAGGGCCGACGACATTGCGATTCTTGAGCAAACGCATATAATTTAGCAATGGCGGTCACTTCTGCACCTAGACGCCTCACACGACACAGTCGCTGATGAGGAACACGGGGACCTAGTCATCGCCATTGATAAAGCTAAACGGGCTGCCAAGCCCATGCCGCTGTTTTTCGTGCATGTCAGGGATATCCTTGTTTTGCTCACAGCATAGAGCGCATGTATGCCCCTTGCGAGTTTGGAACGGCACGGTGCCATGGGCATCTGCTGCATGTTACATCCTTAGAAGCCATAAAGGAATCAACGCTGGGAGAAGGGATCATCAAGTACCCGAACAAGTGGATAATGCAAAGCTCCTGACTACGGACTTCTCAGATTGATACCGACGAGGCGCGAGTTCCCCGTGGAATATGCTGGCTCAGCCAGCGGAAGGACGCTGAGGCTCCACCCGCCATGGTATATCAGGCTGAGGGCAACGCCCCTGCCAGCGGTGGACCGCCCACTCAGGGAGCTTGGCCTCATGCAATCACCCCGTCTTTCTGGGACACTGATGCGACGCGCAATGAGAATTGGCAATATGTTGTTGTCTTCAGTGGGCGGGTAGTGGCCCGCCTTCGGTATCGAATCTGTCGCGATGGAACTCTCGCGACGACGGGACAAGCACGTTTCTATTGTATTTCGCGCACTGTACAATTGCAAGTGGTTGAACCAGTTGGTAGAAACAACGTACCACAGGTGATGTGGACCTTGATGTTTTCACAAGAGTGGTCTGCGTGGGAGGTTGCTATCTCGTCTGATACAATCAGAACGTGGATCATCTCCGATGGACAAGTGGTCAACGTAGGAAGAAGAAAAGCTTCATCATGCGGAGAATGTGGACTGACGATGGGAGGCACACTTGCTATCAATACCATGCCGCCAGGGCTGGTTCGGGGCATTGTTTGCACTGCATTACTCCTGTCAGGAACAAAAGATACGCCAGAGCGAATTACTTAGAATCGCTTGGAGAAAATGCATTGGCGGCTGCATGGACGAGACCAGGACTGAAACCACGTCTTGATGCCACCCCGAGAGGAGTGAACCGATCTAAGATGATTTCTAACAGGCTAAGTGCAATGAGTAAGAGCTCCGCTGGTGCTTTGGACAATTTGAGCATGGCCGAACAACATCAGCGCAAATGGGTTAATAATGAACACATACGTTTCGAGACTGCTTCGGCTGGATTCATGAATTCGCAGTCAGGGACCGCTCTACCCTGGCGTCCTGACAGCGCCTCGGCACAGCCGCCGGCGCGTCACGAGCCATACTTTCAGCATTTTGAACCCCATCAAGCTCAGGGTCATTGACCGGCCAGACCACAAGCATTGGGATGCTCACCCCACGGCTGCCCAGTGGCGGCCATTGATTTGGACGCCAGATCTGGACCAATAAGCTCGTCTTATGAGATGCTCTGCGCTTGCCGCTTTCGATTCGGAACATGTTAGTGCAGACCAAATTCGACCGGAGACGGGCTGGGACCAGTGGGAACGAGAGATGGAGGGAAGAGGATTTGTCATTCTATCAGTTCGAGTGTTGACAGATAACTCGGACGCAGCGACTAGAGCGTCTGCATCGAACCAAGTAGGAGACATAGATTCCGAATCGCTGCTGAACTCTATCATCGGCCAAGCCGCAGTGATAAAGCAGTCTCGGAACGTGAAGGGAAGGCTGCGATGTCGGACGGCATATGCAATAAACTTATTGCACAGCGACATCCATTACTTGTTCCGAATAGAACGATGCCCTTTTGGCTTGATTTGGCTTCTATTTCTGGCTGCATGTGCGGTTATAACTAGAACAATGAAACATACGAGAGGCCAGATGTTATCAAAGTTGCGACACACATTTGTCTTGAATCCATCCTTATCGATTGCTCCCAATACGAGCCCGCTGGACACAGACATCATTCATGACGCACCGCCGGAATTATCCGAGCTTGTGGATAGAATATGGAACCAACCATTCGATCGCATCCCCACCCATGGAAGATGGGGACTAATTCTGTTAGCTGTACGCGAAGTCCAGCTCTTGTTTATGTACACGGGAATCCATGTTGCGTTTCCGGGGTACGAAGTACAGCGTAATTCACAATCCACCCAAATCGTACAAGATGCCTATGCTTAGGATTGTCGGATCCGAGCTGTAGTAGAGACATTTGACACTTCATAACTGGATCAACGGATTAGGAAATGAAGTTCTGGTGACTGCGCGACGGAATTGCTCGGGCATTCAAGAGGCCATGGTCTTTGTGCACACGTTTACGGAGTCTCAATTTAGCGTCAAGAATTGTTTTGCCAACAGCCTTTTTGGGGTCTTCAATACTGATATCCCGATTGGGATCACCAGTTGTCTTGAAAAGAAAAGGAGGAGAGTGGCTCAGCCAACTCTCCAACTGAGACAATCCCAGCCGAGTCGCCAGCAGATGCTGCAACCCCAGTCGTTGAAGGCATTACCCCGAGCGGCACCGCCGCCCCGGGACAGCGAACTCAGCAATACTCTCGCCCAGCATCGCGACCGAGGTACCAGTGCGGAAGGCAGTCTCATCGGGCCGCCCCCTATGCACCTGCGTCTGCCGGCCCAGCCGCGTCAGGCACCAACGCTGGCTGGATCGATTATGACAGGATCCAGTCGCGGGCGGATGAATCCTGCACTGATGAGCCCATCCCCGAAAGACTGGCTGTAGAGCGGGTCGGCGGCCGCGCGCGCGACGGCGGCGGCCCCGGGCCAGCCATGGACGGCGTCTACGACGCGACCGTCGACTACGAAGACAAGGCCGAGAATGGAGAAGTCCAAGGATACTATGTGCACGTATCCCGGCATCATCAAGTCACCGGTCGCAACAAAACGTGGCAACGGTTTAGTCTGGACGAGTACAACGACAAGTTTCAGCGTGACTCTGGGACGCCAAGTACCTTGCCAGTGCCTCCCCCGCCGCCTACGCCGAAGGCAAGACCGCCGGAGAAGGGCCAGGGCAAGAGTGAGCCAAGTGGCTGCAGCTCGAGCAGAAGAGAGGACAGCTCCTCCAGGAACCAGAACCAGTGGCGCTGGAGCAACAGCGACCCCTGGGATGACTCTCGTGACTGGAGAGGTCGCTTGAGAAGGTGATGCTGCGCAACGGAACCAGCACGACAAAGTCGATGCTGGTCCGCACTACTTCGTGGAGCGGGTGCACCAGGTGTGCATGGGCATCGAGGCCCACGCTGGAAATAGTAGCTCCGGCGGGGAACGTCTGGTTTTTTCGGCCTTCCGCCCCCTGGCAACCACCGCTGAGCGGTAAAATGCTTTTGGGTCTCGCTCCGGTGGCTGTACATATGCACAGGCCAGGTGGGTTCGGGGTCGGGGTGTCTCTACGGACCCCGCCGCGGGGGGGAGTCAATTCACCCCTTCACCACCAATCTTTCGCACTGCCTGCTCTCTCTCCTTGCGCGCGCTGTCCGCTTGCTGTACTGACTGATTCCTTCTGCCCCCGCACCTATATATTTTGGCTCTAGGGAAACGAAAAAGGAGCGAGCCTGCGGCGCGCGCGCGCGTGCGCCGGCCGACGGGCCGGCCTCCTCCCTTCAGCGTTACCTTAGTGTATGTTTGACGGCGCTATCCCGTCTTACCCATGTCATCTGGGGAGCCCACTGACCATGAGACATCATCGGAACATCTTGCAGGGGTTATGAATATCCAGGCAAAAGACTCCATCAGCATCAGCATCATAATCATCATCGGCATCACCATCATCGTCATCACCATAATCGTTTTCGTCATCGTCGTCATCATCATCCCGCTTCATTATGCTCCTCCTCCCTGTCCTCATCATTCTCGTGTTCCTCATCCCTGTCTTACACCTCCCCCCTCCTGCTGTTCTTCATCATCAGCAGCGTCACCACGATCTCTCTTCATCACCATCCTCCTCATCCTAATTATCCGTCTCATCATCACCAGCAGCAGCATCGTCATCATTTGCACCATCAGTATCACCATCACCATCACCATCACCATCCAACCATCCATCCATCCATCCTCCTCCTCCTCCTCCTCTCCCCCTCCTGCTCCTCCTCCCCCCCACTCATGCTACCATACCGTTATCATCCTGCCCCGTTCCTCCTCCCCCATCCCCCCCCACTCCCTTCCGCGCCCCCGCACACGGGGCCCCGCCTCCGGACGCCGAAGCTTTTCGGGGGGCGGCCCCCCGACCGCCCCCCCCTCACAGACCCGCGCCATCCTCGAGCAGCAGCAGCAGCAGCAGCAGCAGCAGCAGCAGCAGCAGCAGCAGCAGCAGAGCAGCAGCAGTTGGACGGCGCCAGCCGTGCACCAGGCCAGCTCGATGACACACTTCCGCGCGCGCGCGTTTGGCACGCGCGGCGGCGTGCGTGGAGGTGGTGTGGCACACGGCTGGCGCCGTCCAGGGCGGGGGCCGCCATGAGCTCGCGGCCGCTGCTGGCGCTCCTGGCCGCCTGCCTGGTGCGCTGCCGGCGCGGCGGTGCCGTACCGCACCTCCAGGCCGTCGAGAGCCGCCGGCGGCCGTCGGCGACGCTCGGCGACGGCCAACTCCACGACGACGACGACCACCACCACCACGACGACACCACGACAACGACGACGACGACGACGACGACGACGACGACGACGACGACAACGACAACGACGACGACAACTACCAGCCCCGGAACGACGGCCACGACGCAACGACAATGACGACGATTCGTCGTCGCTGCTGCTGCGTTGACCTCACCGTCGTCCTCGCCCTCGACGTCGTCGAAGCCAGCGGCGACGGCGCGCGCGCGCGCAAGTGCGGGAACCTGGCCGCTGCAGGTCGACGAGTTCCACCGCCAGGGCTGGCTGCTGCACCGCGGGGCCCTCGACGGCGCCGAGGTGGCCGCGCTGGTGGAGCGGCTGCCCGCGCTGATGCGGCGGCACGGGCGAGCCGCCTTCGGGGAGCGGGCGGGCGAGAAGGAGGTGCGCCCGGGAAGCTTCCCTGCCGCCCCGGATCCCGACCTTTCGAGAGGTGCCTGGAGGTCCTTGTGAGGTGCCCGCGGAGGCCTCCGGACGCTCCGGCCAGGGCCGAAGGCGTCCCAGCATGATCCGCCTCGAGGGTCGAGGGCAAAATTGGGCAGTTTTCGGGAGTTCTTGAAGGTGTCCCTGGCCCCAGGTGTCCCCAGCCCTTCGTCCCATGCTGGAGCCCCTGGAGCCCTCGGAGCTGCAACAGGGGTGCTCTGGACGCCGCGGGGGGGGGTCGGGGGTGGACAGAACCCCTAACAGTGACACGTCGATTAGTGAATGGTCCGTTTTTGGTTCTCGAGAGGGCGCCGCGGCCGTTATTTTCCAGGCTTGCGCCCGCCAGGTTTGGGCCTCAGGTCGTTTTCACTAAACCACGTTTTACTAAAGGGGGGTCTGTCCATCCCCGAGGGGGGTCCCTGGAGATCCGGGGGACACCCTGGGCCAGGGGCACATCTGGCGCTGCCGCCCGGAATCCCGACGGCCCAGAGACCCCAGGAGCTCCATGGAGGCCTCCTATCTCCTCCTCCTCCTCCTCCTCCTCCTCCTCCTCCTCCTCCTCCTCCTCCTCCTCCTCCTCCTCCTCCTCCTCCTCCTCCTCCTCCTCCTCCTGCTCTCGGCCTCCTCTTTGCCCCCCGCCTGCAGCCCTCGGCTCTTGCCGCCTGGGCGCGCGCCGCTGCCTCTGTTGCAGCCGGCGCGGTGGAGCCGTCGAAGGCGTCGAAGGTGGAGGTTCCGGGAGGGCCCAAGGCGTCCGCAAGCTTCCCTCCCCGCCTTTGAGGGTCGAGGGCAAAGTTTGGCAGGTGCGAAGCATCGACCCACCAATCGCCCACCCCTCGCCGATAGGGGCCTTCACCCCGCCCGGCACTGGGGGACGCCGATTCAAGCTTCGGGTGTTGCCTGAAGTGCCCCTGGCCCAAGGTGCCCCGAGGGTTTCCAAGGAGGCCCCCACGGCCTCCAGAGCACCCCTCACGAGGCCCAGGGGGCCCCAGGGGCTCCAAAATGGAGCGAAAAGCGGAAGGACCTTGGGCCAGGGGCACCTGTTTAGCAATTCCCGAAAGCCCGACGTTGGTGCACTTGACAAGTTTTGAGTGCCGCCCCCGCGCCTGGCCCCTGGAGGTCCCCGGAGGAGGCCTCCAGAGGAGCCCGGCAGGGGGGGCCAAAGGCCGTGCGACGACCTGCCCCCCCTCGGCCCTCGAGGGTCGCGGGCCAGGCTCGGCAGGTGCCATCTTGGAGCCCCCCGGGGCCCACTGGGCCGCCAGCAGTGCAGTCGAGCGTGCTTCACGTGTGTCGCGTGCGCCTGCACGCAAGGGGGAGGAGGAGGAGGAGGAGGAGGAGGAGGAGGAGGAGGAGGAGGAGGAGGAGGAGAGGAGGAGGAGGAGGAGGAGGAGGAAGAAGAGGAGGAGGTGGAGGAGGAGGAGGCGGAAGAGGAAGAGGAGGAGGACGAGGAGGACGAGGAGGCGGAGAACAAGGAGGAGGAGGAGGAGAAGGAGGAGGGAAGGAGGAGGAGGAGGAGGAGGAGGAGGAGGAGGAGGAGGAGGAGGAGGAGGACGAGGAGGACGAGGAGGACGAGGAGGAGGAGGAGGAGCAAGAGGAGTGGCCCCGCCTCTTTCACCCCTCCGCGACCGCACTTGTCCGTCCTCTTCCTCCTCCTGCACGCTGGCCAAGTCGCTTCTCGGTGCCCGCGCTTGGCTCCATCGCTGGTGCAGCCAGTCTGCCTCGCCGCCGACGGAGAAATTGGGCGTGTGCTTGCACGCCGTGGCTTGTCACAGCTTCCCTCTTGCCCATGCGCCGTCTGGGCGCGGCTGCTGTTCGTCGGTCTGTCTGCATGCCTGGGGCCCTCTGGGCCCTCGAGAGGGGTCCCAAGGCCACCCTGGACCAGGCACGCCCCGTGCAACGCCCGAGAGGTGCGCTTCACGTTCGCCGTGCACGAGCTCGACGCCGTCGTGGCCGCGTTCGTGGGCGCGCGCGCGGGGCGGCTGTGGAGCGCCGCCGCGCAGCTCGCGGGCACCGCGGAGCTCTGCGTGCTGATGGACCGAGGCCTTCTCGGGGGCAGCGTCAGGGGGGCACCTGGCAACAGGGGCAGGGCCAGGGGGGGAGGCGTTCGGACGTCCTCGGTCGGTCCTCGGCGGCGCTCCGGCCTCGGAGCGCCTTCCAGCATCTGGCACCTCGCCGCGAGCGCTCCTGGGGATCTTCCCGAACGGCCGCCAGAGAGCCGAGTTACCGGTGTTTTCGAAAAAAAACGCCCATCGGCAACGTTCGAGGGATAGCGCAGGCTCGCCCCCCACGCCCCCCATTTCAGTGTTCATCCTGTCGCGCAGGAAGCGTTCTGCAAGAGTGGGCGTTTCTTTCGAGACGATTCGCACTCCCCCGCGTCGCACGCCCCCAGCTTTGAAATCGGGGCCCGGGGTTGGACACGCTTCCACGAGAAATACGGATGGGCGTTTTCTTCGAAAACCACGGTACGGCCCTAAAGCCAAAGCGCAGCGACAAGGAGGGCTGGCTCGGGGGGGACGCATCGACCGCCAGCCGCCCATCCATCGCCAACCGTCGCACGATGTGGCCCGGGAGCGTACAGGTTTCGCTATCGGCGCCCTGTCGCCGATCTATCGGTGATGTATCGCCGATTCCGGTTCGGTGTCCCACCATCCGAGCCAGTCCCAGATTCCCGACGCCGTTGTTTTTCACAGCGTGGACCCCGGATGTCTCGACCCATCTCCCGGGATTTGTCTTCACCCTGAGTCGTTATTCGGCGGTCCCGGGGCCCAGCGAAGGCCCCAGAGCACAAAAATAGCAGCAACACCGACGACGACGACGACGACGACGACGACGATCATCATCATCATCATCATCATCATCATCATCATCATCATCATCATCATCATCATCATCATCATCGTCATCGTCATCATCATCATCATCATCATCATCATCATCATCATCATCATCATCATGTTAAGACTGTGCTCTCTTATCTGCTCACGTGCCATTCAGCACGGATATCCCAAACCCTCGATCCCCGCCCTCTTCGTCTTCGATCGTACCCCTTGGGGGTACGTTTGTTTTCCGCTGCAACGTGTACTTCGCGCAGTCCCTAAGGCAGGGGAAGAGAGCAAGGATGGAAGGAAGGGACAAGGGGGAGGGAGGAGGATGGAGCTCGAGAGAGAGTAGCAGGAGGGGGGCTACGAGCAGAAAACACGTGGCAGAACCAGACGGGCAGATCGGGCGGGTAGACCCTAACGGGCGGGTCGGGAAGGCGGGCCCAGGCGGCCAGGTCGAGCAGGCGAGTTGCTGAAGCGTGCGTCCGACATAAATCGCGAGAAAGTTTCGAGCGATAGCGCGATTCCCAAATACATCGCGAGGAAATCCACACCGAGAGCATAATTTCTGAGTGGCGCGGCGTCTGAACAAATTGCGAGGATGTCCCACGCGAGAGCGCAATTCTTGTTCAAGTTGTGAGGAAGTCTCCCGCGAGAGCGCGATTTAGGAATAATTGTGAGGAGGTATCAGGCGGGACCCGCTGTTGTTTTAAACAGGACGCCAGGGGCACAGTTTGGCGACCCTTCACCTTCCCTTGGGGGGGAAAAGAAAGTGTAAGTCCCGCGGGAAGCATTTTAATCCCACCAGCCCTTTAGGGCGTGAGTGGTTTAGCGAGCCCCCTCTGTCCTCAACCCCCCTTCTTCCCCTTCGGGGAGGGGTTTACCCCTCCCCCTACCCCCTCCCCCTGGGCCTGGACAGGGACTCCCGAGCGTCGCCAGGGCAGTCTTTTTCGACTCCTGGGAGGGCTAAAAAACGACTACCCTCACGAGGATTCTGGCCCCGACGGGGGGGCTCAAAAAAATGCTCCCCTCTTCTGTGAAGCCAAAATCCTTGCTTTTACGATGGTTTTGGCACCATTTTGGCCTTCTGAGGGGACCGCGCTCATCTTCCTTCATAGCAAAATCATTGATTTTACTAAGGTTTTGGGCTCATTTTGTCCTTCTCAGGGGGCAGCGCTTCTTTGCGCTTCTGAGGAGGTCGCAAGAGGCCCCAAGATGGCCCCAAGAGGCCCCCAGGAGCCTCCCAAGAGGCCTCCAAGAGGCCCCCAAGAGGCCCCCAAGAGGCCCCAAGAGGCCCCAAGAGGCCCCCAAGAGGCCCCCAAGAGGCCCCAGAAGGAGGCCCCCAAGAGGCCCCCAAGAGGCCCCCAAGAGGCCCCCAAGAGGCCCCAAGAGGCTCCAAGAGGCCCCCAAGAGGCCCCACGAGGAGCCCGAACGACCCACACCAGGACGAGGGGCCCGAACGACTCACACCACGAAGAGCCCGAACGACTCACACCACAACGAGGGGCCCGAACGACTCACACCAGGACGAGGCGCCCGAACGACTCACACCACGAGGAGCCCGAACGACTCACACCACGACGCGGGCCCCGAACGACTCACACCACGAGGAGCCCGAACGAGTCACACCAGGAGGAGGGGCCCCCGACTCACAACAGGGAGGGCCCGAACAACTCACACCACGAGAAGCCCGAACGACTCACACCAGGACGAAGAGCCCGAACGACTCACACCACGAAGAGCCCGAACGACTCACACCAGGAAGAAGGGCCCGAACGACTCACACCAGGACGAGAAACCCCAAACGACTCAAATCACGAGGAGCGCTTTCTCTCCCTCCTCCTCCGCCTCGTCCTTCTCCCGCTCCCCCCACAAGGAGGATGTACAAGGAGACGGGAGGAAGGAGGAACAGGGGAGATATGCGGGGCCGAACGGACACACGCCTGAAAAACACGACTGTCGGCATGCTTCGCATGAGTTGCTGTTGTGAGATGGGCTGGTGGGGATACGCGAAGCGTAAAGAATTGAATTATCCCGGCAAAGCAACCGAACAGCGATGTGTAGGAGCATATCTGGAAGCATTCCCCTTAAGATACAGATGAGAATCCAGTTGTAGAATTGTGCTGTTCTCGCAGTCGTAGTCGCATTCGCGATGACAGTCGCAATTGCAACGGCAGTCACAGACACAGCCTCAGCCTCAGCCTGCCTCAGCCTCAGCCTCAGCCTGCCTCAGCCTCAGCCTGCCTCAGCCTCAGCCTCAGCCTGCTTCAGCCTCAGCCTCAGTCTGCCTTCAGCCTCGGCGTCAGCCTCAGGCTGCCTCAGCCTCAGCCTGCATCAGCTCAGCCTCAGCCTCAGCCTGCCTCAGCATCAGCCTGCCTCAGCCTCAGCCTCAGCCTGCCTCAGCATTCAAAATGTGGCCCGGGAATGGAGTTCTGGGAACTCGAAGAACACGAAGTGGCCTACAGTTGGCTCCGGGCATTCAAAATCATGCCCAGGAATGGAGTTCTGGGAACTCGAAGACCACGAAGTGGCCTACAGTTGGCTCCGGGCATCCAAAATGTGGCCCGGGAATGGAGTTCTGGGAACTCGAAGAGCACGAAGTGGCCTACAGTTGGCTCCGGGCATCCAAAATGTGGCCCGGGAATGGAGTTCTGGGAACTCGAAGAGCACGAAGTGGCCTACAGTTGGCTCCGGGCATTCAAAATGTGGCCCGGGAATGGAGTTCTGGGGACTCGAAGACCACGTTGGCTCCGGGCATTCAAAATGTGGCCCGGGAATGGAGTTCTGGGAACTCGAAGAGCACGAAGTGGCTACAGTTGGCTCCGGGCATTCAAAATGTGGCCCGGGAATGGCGTTCTGGGAGGTCAAGAGCACCAAGTGTGTGACTGTTGCATCCGGTGATTCAGAATGTGGCCTGGGAATGGGGTTCTGAGAGGTCGACGAGCACGAAGTGTGTGACTGTTGGTGAAAAACGAGCCCGGCACAGGCCCGGCCGGCAACTCCCAACGCCTGCCCGGACCCCCCTGTGGAGTGATCTGTGAGCTCTTTTGAGTCAACTAGAAACCTATCAGTCTTCGCTGTTAGGTAAAAATAGAACGGTTATTGGAGAGGGGGTATCAGCAAAAATAATTCGTTCGCAATGAGACTTCCACACAACAGCAACAACAAAGCAAAAACAACAACAACCATTTTAAAATTGTTCGCTCTTACTTGCTCGAGTGCCATGTAACATGTATTTCCCAAACCCTCGATACCCGCCCTCTTCGTCTTCGATCGTACTACTTTTGGGGTGTATACATTTCTTCCGTGCAGGCAGGGCAGCAGGCGGGGCGGCCGCGGACGGTCGGCCTGGCCAGCGGCAGCGCTGACCGGCGGCAATCCGACCCCAAGGGGGACGGACGGGGGACCGACCACGACGACGACGACGACGACGACGACGACGACGACGACGAGCGAAAGCGAGAGCGAGAGCGAGAGCGACACGGGGGCCACGAAAGGCAGGAAGGGGACCACGAAAGAGCATGCGCATGGGGCCACGAAGGGCGCGAATGAGCGGGGCCACGAGGGGAACATAATGCGGGGCCACAGAGGGCAACGACGGGGCCACTGAGGGTAGTAACGGTGCCACATAGGACAGCGAGGGGGCCACAAAGGGCGACAGCAGGGCCACGAAGTGCATGCACAAGGGGCCTCGACGGGCGCAAACGAGCGGGGGCCATGAAGGGCATACGTATATTGGGCTGTAGAGGACAAGGATGGGGCCACTGAGGGCTGCAACGGGGCCACGAAGGGCAGCGAGGGGGCCACGAAAGGCGACACCGGGGCCACGAAGCGCATGCATATGGGGCCACGACGGGCGCGAACGAGCGGGGGCCACGAAGGGCATACATAGGTGGGGCCACGAAGGGCAGCGAGATGGCCACGAAAGGCTGCAACGGGGCCACGAGCCACGAAGGGGTGCAACGGGGCCACGAAGGACAGCGACTGGGCCACTACGGGCTGCGAGGGGGCCACGAAGTGCATCGAGGGGGCCACGGAGGGCTGGAACGGGGCCACGAAGGGCAGCGAGAGGGCTGGAACGGGGCCACGAGGGGCAGGGACTGGGCCACGACGGGCTGCAACGGGTCCACGAAGGGCAGCGAGGGGGCCACGAGAACGGGTCCACGAAGGGCAGCAAGGGGGCCGCGAAAGGCTGCAACGGGGCCACGAAGGGCAGCGAGG